CTACTGTTTTCCAAAATTGGATGAATAAACGCAACTTTTGCAGTCTGATTAGAGGCAAAAAAAAAAAAAAAAAAAAATACATAATTAAAGACAAAAAACATTTTTAATAATAATAACTGTTTTCATTTATTAGTTAAAATATTTTTTGTTCAATATAATTAGTATAATCATTATGACGAATTTTAATATAAATAAAGATATTAGATTTTTAAAATTACGTAAATGGATACAAATCAAAATATGTTCAATTTATCTCATTCTGTTTCTATGATTACACGTCGAATGATTTCTTCCGTATGGCCCTTTTTTGATATCATTTCAGATCAGAATAAAGTTTTATGTAAAACTTGTCAAGCAAGTTTTAGTTCTAAAACATCTACCACTATACTTAAATGACATCTGGAAACACGTCATCAACAAGAAGTAAATAATTTTCGATACAAGCGTTCTCGAATTCAACCATCAATTCCTTATAATCAAGAAGACAAAGACCGTTTAGATAATTCTGTGATAAATTGGATAGTTTTATGTCAACAACTATTTTCAATGGTAGAAGAAGAGTCATTTATCACTATGATTAATGATTTTGATAATCGATATCAAATGCCAACATGTCAATATATATCAAATTTAATTTTGTTGAAATTTGAAGAACATCGACAAAAAATAATTAATGAGATGAATTATATTTTTGGAAAAGTATCATTAACAGCCGATATTTGGAGTTCTTGTGCTAATCAATTCTATCTTGGCGTTACGGTACATTGGATCGATGAACAGTGGGAATTTCATCACTTTCTATTGAATATTATCCCTTTTCAACAACGTCATACAGGTAAAAATATTGCTATAGCTCTTACGGATCTTCTTAAGGAATTCAACTTGTCATCCAAAGTACTTGCCTTAATAACTGATAATGATTCTGTTATGTTAGTATGTGGACATAATTTAAGTAATGAATTGCAAATTGAATTCGATAATTTAGATTTTACACATTATCGATGTTGTGCACATATCTTAAGTCTAAGTGTCAAACATGGATTAGAAATTATTGATGAGACTATAGATAAAGCACGTGAATTTATAAACAAGTTGAAACATTCTATTGCACTTTGTGATCAGCTTCGTACAATAATTAGTTTAATGAAGAATGTTAATTATCTTGCACCCGAAATTGATGTTTCAACACGATGAAACTCAACATATCTTATGTTACAAAAACTTTGTATGATGCGACCATCTTTGGATATACTTGTTGCAGCAAATAAGGATATTTGAACACTATATCTAAATGAAGATGAATGGAATATTGTTCAGGTTAAATTTTTTTTTTTAAAAAAAATTTTTTTATATTAATTACTAATTTATTTTTTAATTTATATATAGGAATCAATTACTTTACTTGAACCTATGTATATGGTTACCGTCATGCTCTCTGGTTGTACATATATTACGATATCTGATATACGACTTGCTTTTCTTGGAATTTTTAATCATCTCAATACAATTATTCGTGATAGCGAAACTCAATATCTTGTTGCTGATTCAATCCATATCAAATTACAAAAATATTGGAATATATTGGATACATTATCAACAATTTCTACTATACTGGATCCACGATTTAAAACTTTAACTTTTGAAACGGGAATTGCAACTACTCAAGCTATTTCTAAGTTATGTCAAACAATGGATATATATATTAACAAAGTAACACAAACTACAAATGTTTCTAATTCAACCGATACTTCTAATTCAATCAATACCTCTAATTCAATTGATACTATTGATTTAACTAATACTATTGATAATTCAATTAATTCTCTTAATTCAATTGATACCTTTAATTCAAGTAATATTTCTAATTTAACAAATACTTTTAATTCAACTAATATCTTTAATTCGATTAATAATTCAACTGATATTTCTAATTTAGTTAATACTTTCGATTCAATTAATACTCCTGATTCAATAACCAATATCACTACATCTCGTATAACAACTACATCAGCCCGAGCTTTTTTAATGTTTAGGATAAATTATAATCATTCAACAAAATCACAACCAATTATTAATGAATTAGATAGATATTTAAGTTTACCTGAAGATGAAAATATGGATCCATTATTATAGTAGAAGGCACATACCAAGGAGTTTCCTATTTTATCAGCAATGGCAAGAGATTATCTTGCTATCCAAGCAACAAGTGTTCCATGTGAAGAGGCTTTTTCAGTAGCAGGACGTACAATTAGTAAAACATGGAATCGACTTCAACCAAATACTGCTCGTGCTAATTTATGTCTAAAGAGTTGGATTAAAGAAAAAATCGGTGAAAATAATATTAAAATAGTTTAAAAAGGTTCAATTTATATTTTTCATTTTTGTTTTTCGATAGATAAAATTCAAATTAAACTTTATTAAATTTATCTAATAAATAATTTTGATTCTATACAAGTTAAAATAATTTTAATATTTATCGATAAATTTATACAAAAGAAAAAAGAATTTTTTTTTAACGTTAACCGATAAATTTATAAAGAAAAAATTTTTTATAATAATACAAACTATTATTTGTTGTGTAACAATAAGACTGCTTATTGAACCGGTTTGATTCGGTCTTTACTTAAGAACTGCATAAAACTGAACCAAAACTGAACCGGACTGGACGATAACATCACTACTTGACTTGCTATGTTATTTGATTCTTGATGCAGAAAACAATAAGTTATTAAAATAATTATTTTTAGAAGTATTATTATCATTGATCTTAGAGACAGAAGAATCGTTGGTCTTGATAACGGTTTTCTTATTACTGCTTATTATCAAGGTTCTAAATACAAAATTTGCAATTAGTATAAATATGTTTTTATAATCTTAATTAAATACTGATATAATAAATAGTAGTATATTACTTCGAATTAGCAATAAAAAATGTTATTGGGCCTACCTTAGAAGAAAAAAACGAAACCCATTATTCTTATGAATAGATTTTTCTTGTTAGAAAACAGATTATAAGAAATAGCTGATTTGTATTTGTTTTGGATAAAAATAAGTAACAAAAAAGAAGAGGCATGGGAAGAAAGAATGATAAACGGATACGTATTTGCTGGAGGCAGTCTGTGACTATAAAAAGTTTAATATGTGGAAATTTGTTGGGTAGCTCGACGATTCTCTATAGCATAGAAAATCACGAAAGTACATCGAAACTTCTATTGCAGAGCAATTAGATAGACATATACACAACGATATTCGATTGTTGGAAATGAAAAAAAAATCGATTAAACCTACGAGATGCACATCTGGAAATCAAATTCACGTTACTTAAGATTTACAATACTGCATATATCGTGTCGCACGTGTTTAGACGGTAAATACATTTTTATTTGTGATTCAGAGTTTCGGGACTAGGCCGTGATACATGATGTTTATATTTTTCTCGATTTCTTCTACCCGCCGTCTTTTCACACCAGGTGCACTATCTACCATCACTCCATCCTTTAACAAACCAACGATTATAGTGTAGTTGCGGTAAAACAATGTAACGAGCATTTACGATTACAAATCCTATCTCTATGTGGAGGTATCGGTGAAGGAGGTAGAGAAATTTGCGGTGATGATAGTAATAATGATATTGGTGATTGCGGAGGAGGTAATTGTGGCGACGATGGGGGTTGTGGAGAAGATGATGACGATGGAGGTTGTGGAGAAGATGACGATGGAGTCTATGTGCAAGTTATTTAGAATGTATTAATAGATCATCAATAATCCTTTATTCGTAAAGATCTCAAGAGCATACATACGGGCTTGTTTTTATGACGCCTTTTCGATGAAGGTCCAACATTATAATTAACATTTCTTCGTGCACGGAGATTGAATTCTCGGCTTAAGGGAGGTGCGTCTCTCCTTTTTCTATTAATTTTTCGCCGAGAGTTCTGTGTTCCTACTACTCCTGAAGGAGTATTAGGCGTATTCTCATCCACAGACCCTCTATCCGAATTTCCACCTAAATCGTCTCCAAAACCTTCGGCGAAATTCCCCACATCATTACAATTCGAGCCGAAATCAGATGAAGAATTATTATCGTCATCCACAGACCTTCCGTTCGAATTTCCGTCTAAATCATCTTCGAAACCTTCAACAAAATCCCCCATATCGCTATGATTCGAGTTGATATTAGATTTATACCACTTGCTTGTAAGCTCAGACAAATCAACCTCCTTTATCTGTAATTGCTCATTAAGCACAGACAAATCAGACTCCTTTATTCGTAATTGCTCGTTAAGCTCAGAAATATTTCGATGAACCCGCTCTATTTCAGCTTTATGGTTCGTTATATCCCGCTTCTATGAATGGAATGTTAATATACATGATCAAAGTTTCAAAGGACTTATCATCAAATCGTATGATCGAATTATATGCAATCTTACCATTTTACATTCCTGTTCTACTCCTTTCCAATATTCTTCCAAACCTTTTTTACCTCGTAAACGTTCTAACCTGACCTGTTATAAAGAGAAGAGCGCGAATTTATCTAATAATAACGGAAGTCAAGCTAGCTTCTCCTCCGAAATAACCAGACCTTTATTAACAACAAAGATAGGACACCTGAATAGAGGACTTGGAATGGTTACCAAGCTGTCATATCCAGTAATTCTCCTAAGTCAAGCTAGGAATCCCTCAGGTCGCCCAGAAGTTACCCTTACTTTGCAGATAATAAATGACGCACCTTATCCTCCAGTGTAATAAACCTACTTTCATCTATTTTCCTCGCCTCATATAAAAAACGCCTAACCCAAGTATTATCGAGGTCTTGCCGGCAGGAAGTAGGTGAAGTCAATGACGAGGTAACGATCACTTCTCGGAAACGGGAAATAAAACCCCAGAAAGATGTATATGTAGCCAAATATGAAACAAGCTCAACATGACCGACATAAATTTCATCAGAAACAGAAGACATATTGATTTTATAGGTTTTTAAAGATATAAAGCACTTATCGGTTTTTTTTTTTAGTGTCGCGTTTTAAGAAGACGTGTTCTATGAGACATGCCACGCTATCCATTTTTATTTAGAAAAAAAAATGAGATCTGTTACCTAAATCATGATGCATGTGTGAAAAGGCGAGATTTATCTATTAGGTTGAGGAGTTGACCCGAAATAGGTAAGTCGCAATATTTTACCCTGCATGCGCCATGTGTCTAAATATTACCCAGAAATTCGGAATATAGATAAAAATCACATGCGCAATAATATATGAGAAAGGTCGGCCGATCAAGTAAAAATGAAAGTAAAAGTAATAGAGTAGCAGGGAGGAAAGGCATAAAAAACACGCCTGCTTGTTAACGAGCCCTAACCCATATAGTGGCAGTTCCTTCCCCGCTACTCAGTAGTTAAGAAATTGTCTTCACCTATTTTATCAACATCAGAGGAATTGCTGGAAGCAGTCACTTCGTGGATAGAGATTTGAGTCGTATTATTAGGTGAGGCTTCAATATCTGATACACTTGTTTTCTGTTGATTTCGACTTCTGATCGGGAACAGTGTTCACGGTTTTGATACAGTTATACTAACTTGTGCAATCGTTACTTGATCTATAATATACTGGATTTCAATATTAGTAAGTCTTGAAATAGTATCGGCACTGTAAGTAACTTGTTTAATAATATGCCATCTTATTCCATTGACTTTTTCCTGGATCATAGTATCATATTCCCATCCGAATAGCTTAAGAATTTTTCTTGCTTTACTTGTTATTTTACGTAAATACTCATCAGAAATGCCCATGAGATACGGCTTCATTTCATTATAAATCTGGGTTCTTGCAGCCTTATCCTTAAGATTTTTATTTTCGGATATAAGCTTTATAAATCTATTTTCGTATTTTTCAGAATAGCGACCCCAAGATAAAATTTCTTCCTGCTTAGCTTTGATAGATTTTTTTCTCGCTTTACTAGCCTGATATAACAAATGAGCAAGCTCAGCAGGTGCAGAATCTGAAGGCTTACTATTAATGATTTCAATATTTTCTCCTTCTATAGAGTTTACCGAAAATCTTTGTAACAAACCTTGTACAAATTCACTTGTCACGTATGTACTAGCTTCAGAGATTTTTGAGATATATTTTGTACGGACTCTTTTGGTGAAGTCTTTCTTGATCGTGAACAGTGTTCACGGTTTTCATGTCACATGAACTCCTCTAATTCTCTTTAAGAGTCTAGTTTTTCCGAAGAGGCCTCTTGATCCCGAAGCTTCTCCTTGATATTTTGAATTATATCCTTACTAGCCTTTTCCTTATACTTCGA